TTGAGAATATCAAGTACTAATCCAGTCATTTTATAGTGGGACATTAATGGTGCTAGCAAGTGTTCTGGCCAGAAGTTCATCCTAGCTCTCTGCTGGGACCTATTACACACCGTAGTATATGTGAGAGGGTAGCAGGGAGGCGAGAGACAGGACTGCTGCGAGGAAAGGGAGATAATAACTTGAAGCTGAGCTGAAGGGGAAATGAAAGGCCCTGAAAGAGGCAGGTAGTTGTGGGAGGTGGTGGGGTTTCTCTAGTAGAGAAGTAGACGTAGGGTGAGGTTTCTCCTTCTGGGGAAGAGGATGACAAAGCAGTACATGAGACCATGTGGGATGGGGATATGACCTCAGAGTCCTAAGAAGAGGCTCTGTCTCTTAGGAAACCAAAATCATCCTCTGGGAAGACTTAGGCGAGAATCTAATAAAAGCCCAAGCGAGGGTTAACCTGAAGGTTCTGTGGTCTGATCACCAACTGAGCAAGGAAGGAACCTGGGAAAGTTGGAGTTTGAGAAAAAAATACTGAGCTTCCCCAGAGTAGCTGAACCATATGCTATTTGGGGTTCTAACCATGGAAAGTCCCACTCATCTGGAATCATTCTTTTAGGATTTTGGGTGTCTGGAGCGCTTATATACCCACCTTCCTTTCTCCCCATTACATTTTATACAAATTACAGATTCCTGAATCTGAAATGAAGAGTCTGCAAGTTTTCCTTTTTACACCACCACCTCATTCTTCTTTGGAGATTGGTATACAAAAGCCTTTATGTGTAAACTTGGCACACTTAGACATTTAGATTGTTTTCATGAAAGCTAAAGAAGTGTTTTAAGCATGAGGGTGATATAACCAGGTTTGCATTTCATGTACTAACTCAGAAGCAGAAAGATGAATAGACAAGAGAGATTTGTGATGCTTCGTTAAGGGACTGTGGTGGCAATCTGGGTCACAGTGACAAAAACAGAATGAGTGAGGCTAGATATGAGAGATGGCAGAGTCACTGTGGGAGTAAAGGAGAGGTAGTTTCCATAGGGAGTGGATTTCTAAATGTCTGGGATGGAAGGGCTGGAATGTTACCTACTCTTTTAGTTCCCTTGGGGGAGAAGTTCAGCCAAATCATTTTTGTTTCAATTATATTTTACTGTTTCCTATGAAGATAGAGTGAATTATCACCTTGGTGAACCCAGGAGAGACACTGGACATATATATCTCTGCACCATTTCCCCACCTTCTACTTCTGAAATCAAATTGCTCCCTGATACATCCATTGTGTTCTCTGCTCTATGCCCTAACTCACAAGAATAGCCACTCACATGGTAGAGGTTTTCCAGCATTGCCCAAACTGAATGTTTTAGCCCTCTTGGGCTACTATCACAAATTACAGTAGACTGATGGCCAAAAAAAGAAATTCATGTGTTTCACAGTTCTGAAAACTAGAGTTTAAGCATCAAGTTTCTGACAGACTTGGTTTCTGGTGAGAGCTGTCTTCTTGGCTTGTTGACTGCTGCCTTCTTGCTGCATGCTCACATGGCCTTTCCTTGAGAGAGAGAGAGAGAGAGAGAGAGAGAGAGAGAGAGAGAGAGAGAGAGACAGAGGGAGACAGAGAGAGACAGAGACAGAGAGTCGGAGAAAACACTAGTTCCATGGGTCTTTTTCACGTAAGAACATAATCCTATTAGATGTGGGCCTCACCATTAGAATCTCATTTAATCTTGACAACTTCCTTAGAGGACCCACCGTGACCAAACTAGGGGTGAGGGCTCTATGTATGAATTTTGGGAGAGCACACACATTCAGTCCATAACAGTAAATAAGGCCACTCTTTCGGGGATTCAATACTTGCAAAATGACTTGGATCATATGCTCAAGGCAGATCATCTACAGCTCCATTAGAACAGGTTGACAATTTGATCCATCTATATCCCATGCTATCTTTATTTCACTTGATTCTGAATTCAAGAGAGGGAAAGGATGCTATTTATAGGGCTTTATAAAATTAGCCAAGACAGCTAAGATGTGTTGCCATTATAAATAAACTTTAGAATCCTAGAGAAATTGGTTTATTTATTTTTTAAAAAACCTTTTTATTAGTAAATTATAGTTGCACATGGGGTTTTATTGTGACATTTCCATATAGGTGTACGATGTACTCCAGCTTGATTCATCCCCTCCATTATTCTTCCTCTTCTCCCTCCCTCTTGAGAAACTAGTTTCTCATTAGGCAAATATAATGCAGATTAGGCAGCCCTCCTCCATCTCCCTGCTCTGTCATCTGGAAGCTGGTACTGCAGGGCAAGTGGATTAGATGGACAATTTTATATGGCTAGACTTGGAGGTGACTCATATGTACAGAACCACACATTCCATTATCCAGAACTCAGTCCCATGGCTCTCACCAATTATAAGGGAGTAGGAGAATTGTGCTTTTCTTATAGGTACAGGGGGGAAATGTGTTAAATGCCTGCCATTGTATCTGCAGTTGCATTAAAAAATCCCAGAGTAAGAGCTGCCACTGACAACATGCAGACAAGGATGAGAGCTGGTGCTGGAGAAGGATTTGGATGGAGCTTTAATTGTGTATTGCTTTTTTTTTTTTTTTCATTTTTCTTTTATTATTCATATGTGCATACAAGGCTTGGTTCATTTCTCCCCCCTGCCCCCACTTACCTCCCTTACCACCCACTCCGCCCCCTCCTTCTCCCCCCACTCAATACCCAGCAGAAACTATTTTGCCCTTATTTCTAATTTTGTTGTAGAGAGAGTATAAGCAATAATAGGAAGGAACAAGGGTTTTTGCTGGTTGAGATAGACAGGGCATTGACTCACATTGATTTCCTGTGCATGGGTGTTACCTTCTAGGTTAATTCTTTTTTTTTTTTTTTCATTTTTCTTTTATTATTCATATGTGCATACAAGGCTTGGTTCATTTCTCCCCCCTGCCCCCACCCCCTCCCTTACCACCCACTCCACCCCTTCCCGCTCCCCCCCTCAATACCCAGCAGAAACTATTTTGCCCTTATCTCTAATTTTGTTGTAGAGAGAGTATAAGCAATAATAGGAAGGAACAAGGGTTTTTGCTGGTTGAGATAAGGATAGCTATACAGGGCATTGACTCACATTGATTTCCTGTGCGTGGGTGTTACCTTCTAGGTTAATTCTTTTTGATCTAACCTTTTCTCTAGTACCTGGTCCCCTTTTCCTATTGGCCTCAGTTGCTTTAAGGTATCTGCTTTAGTTTCTCTGCGTTAAGGGCAACAAATGCTAGCTAGTTTTTTAGGTGTCTTACCTATCCTCACCCCTCCCTTGTGTGCTCTCGCTTTTATCATGTGCTCATAGTCCAATCCCCTTGTTGTGTTTGCCCTTGATCTAATGTCCACATATGAGGGAGAACATATGATTTTTGGTTTTTTGAGCCAGGCTAACCTCACTCAGAATGATGTTCTCCAATTCCATCCATTTACCAGCGAATGATAACATTTCTTTTAAGGATGTTAGTAGCTCATGCAATTTGGCAGTTATCTGTGGTTATAAAAGGAAGAGCTTATTGAGAGAACTTCCAGTTTCATTATTAGTGTTGAGAATTCTGAGTAAGGCATAATGTGTATCAAAACAACTTGTTTTGTACAGTAAATAATACAAGGAAAGTAAATAAATCTATAAAATATAAATAAAATTGTGCATTTGTTTCTTTAAAAAGGAAATAATGTTACAAATGAGATTTTAAGTGACTGCTTTTCTGTACCAGTGAATATTAATTTAGGAACACTATAATAATAAATGTATTGCTTGGGTCTTAAAAGGATTTTGTATTCATCTGTTCCCACATATTAGCCAGTCAGGATTACTGACAAATCACCAAATATCTCTCATGAATTATTAAATAAATTCAATATTGATAAATGCTGCCTTTTTGACAATGTATTTTGATCAAATCACAAAATTAAATATGGATGTTAATGGTTTCCTCATTAACATTTCCTCTTGCCCTACACAATTGCACAGAGAACAAAAGTTAGGTCTCAGATTGAAATACATGCTGCTCTTCTAGGATTTTATTTATGAATACCCCAGATAGTCAAAATTCTCCCTAGGTAGTCAAATTCTTCTCTAGAAAACATTGTTCTAAAGAAATTTGTATCTGGGATTCTATACACTGCACTGCCAATCATCACAATGTATTTTAGAACTTGATTTAAGTATACTTCAATAATTTCAAGTGTTTTGACAGGAGAGGTTAATTGTTAATGTCTACATGTTCATACTTTCTTGGTAAGATACTTGGTACCACTCATGAGATAACTGAAATTTTGCTGACTGAATATATGGACTAAACTCAATAAAAGGGCATGTTTATATTTTTGTACAGCCTGTGAACTCTGAATGGCTGCAATTTTGTTTCTAGTGATAATACTGAGTTCATGGAGATGTCATAGGAGATATGAGAACACCAATTTTATAATTTATAAAATAACCAGTGAGAATCAAGTAATGAGAAAGGGTAAGGGGTTAAAAGGGAAAGAGAAGATTTGGAGGACATCCAAAAGGGAGAAAGAAAGCATGATGGGGCATGGAGGCATAATTAAGTTGAGAAACTTTTAGACTTACGATCTGGTAAAACAGGCAGGATCAGGACAACCATGCACTTTATTTTATAGGTAACATTCAAGACCCTGATAAGTGAAGTGATCTTTCAGTGTCACATACCACTTTATCCAGGGGCAGCTAAGGATGAGAAGAACATAGGATAGAGCTAAGTGAAAAGGAGAGCAGTTGAAATTCAGAGAGGAGAGAATAACTGTAGTTCAGATCTGGAGGGGAAATGAGAGATTGAGAGGGAAGCCCACGGTTGAGGGAATCTACAGATTTTCTTGGTTGTTGTCAGTTGCTATTGGAGATGATTGCCTGTTGGCACAAGAAGGAAGTCAGATGAGAGTTATGAAGGCTTACTTTGTTGATGTCAGACATCAAAGACCAGCTCTGCTGAGAAAAGGAAACATCTGCGTATGACATGCTGTTTCTTCAACTTCTACTGCTGACTCTTCTCCTCCCAGGCAGCAACCATGCGGACAGTAAGAACATCTCTGTCAGCTGCCCAGCTGGGTGGATCTGGGTGGAGTGTGGTGGGCTTTCCCAAAATGCATTTCTTAAGCCAGGATGCTTCTCTCCAAGTTCAGTTTTTTCTTTTTGAGGGTGGTGCCAGAGCATGGGGCCCTGTGAAAGGAAAATGTTATTACAAGCTAGTCATTATACTTCTTTCTCTGGTAGCTGATTGATTTTCTATCTTCTTTCTGTTCTGTTTGTCTTTCCTTTTTTCTCTTTTACTGCTTTACCTTCTTCTATTTACAGTGGTCCATGATATGGTCTCATTCCATATCATCCAGATCTCATCCTATGCTAACCAATCTTGGGTACAAAATCAGGGCTCAGGTTGGTTGGATGAGTTGCAGACTCATGGCTGGGAGAGTGAATCAGGATCAATAATTTTTCTGCATACCTGGTCCAAGGGCAACTTCACTGATGAACAGTTGACAGACCTGGAGCTGCTATTCCGTGTGTACTTCATTGGATTAACTCAGGAGATTCGTAACTATGCCAGCCAGTTTCAGTTTGAATGTAAGTTCACCCAACTAGGGGAATTGTTTAGATGGTTCTTCTTATTGTTAGAAATATTTTCTACTAATTTCTGCACCATTCTTCATTATCCCATAGCACTATAGAACACTACATGCATAGACTCTTCAAGTATATTTCAGACATTTACCCAACATTTTCTAGACTTTTGCTACATCAGCAATATTTTTTCTTGTGCTATGTTATTTTCCCCCTGTGATTTCTTTCCGTGGCCCAAATCATCAGGGAAAATTGTCTTATTCTCTGCTTGACTTTCTTAAATTATGTTCTGGATGAGACCATAATTCCCCCTTCTCTTCAATTTATTCAGAAATATACAATTATTATCTAACAAATTATGAAATTACCACTGCCATAATTTTAAAGTGCATTTTGTGCATCATGAAATGTTGTTCTCCCATCTCCCTCATCTAAGTACCCTACCTCACTATATGGGGTATATTATGTAGCTCATCTATTATTTCCCCAAATCTTCTTTAAACCAATCTCCTTTAATTCAAGGATTTTATGTCTTATTGCACCCCTTCCCATTCCCAGAATTTTTTCTCTCTCTTGTTCTTGATTATACAATCAAGAGACATATTTGTCTCATTCTCATACCCTTATAAATCATTCTACATGTTCCACTTCCACATAAGTCCCTTAGATTCTCATATCATTAATCTCAACTTTTGTTTTACTTGAATTATTTTTCTCATTCCACCCTTCCCCAAGATCCCTTTGAAATGCAAGTGAATGCTGGCTGTGAGTTGTACTCTAGAGAGAGCCCAAAGGACTTCGTCCAGGTAGCTTATGAAGGATCAGATTTTATGAGTTTCCAAAACACATCGTGGGTGCCATCTCCAGAGGGTGGGAGTCCGGCCCAGAAGGTCTGTGATCTCCTCAATCAATATGAAGGCATCAAGGAAACAGTGCAGAGCCTTGTGAGAAAAACCTGTCCCCAATTTCTCTTGGGTCTCCTGGATGCAGGGAAGATGTATCTTCAGAGAAAAGGTCAGTGCAGCTCTTCCCTCTTAAGATTTTCTATTTAAGTCTTCCCTACCTACAATGCTCTTCAGACTTAGGACAAGGAAGAGGACAAGAGGGACAGGGGCTGCTGAATGTTAGTGTCCTACAGGGGGGAAAAGATAACTGTGCATATTAATAAAGATATATTTGTTCCTGAGCCATGTGTTAAGTGTGCACATCTGATTACCTCTTATGTTCTCTGTAGTGAAGCCAGAGGCCTGGCTGTCGGGCCACTCCACCCTTAAGTCTGGCCGACTATTGCTGGTTTGTCATGTCTCTGGCTTCTACCCAAAGCCTGTTTGGGTGATGTGGATGAGGGATGAGCAGGAGCAACTGGGCACGAAACATGAAGATCCTTTTCCCCATGCTGATGGGACTTGGTATCTTCGGGCAAACCTGGATGTAGCGGCTGAGGATGCTGCTGGCTTGTCCTGTCGAGTGAGGCACAGCAGTCTAGGAGACCAGGATATCATTCTCTATTGGGGTAAGTCTGGGTTTGGAAGTGTGAGTAGGTGGTCATTAAGAATAGGGGTAGGAAATAGGAAAGTTTGGTTATGCCAGATCTAGATGAGGGATGTCAGGTAGAAATGAACAGGTAGAAATGGAAGAGTGGGACATCAGAGACAAATAGATAAGGAAGATTTTGGGGAAGATAAGGAATCTTTCCTTGGATAAAAATGGGACTAGAGTGACTGAAATACGTTGATTGATGTGGCTTATACCTAATGCTCATACTAAGTAAGGAAATCAGCAGATGAAGTAAAATCATCAGTGGGTTCCAGATGAAATGTATGTCTCTAACATTCACAGGACGCCGTCTTTCTGCGAGCTTGATCTCTTTGGCAGTGATAGTGCCTTTGATCCTTTTGATAGTCCTCATGTTATTGTTTAAGAAGCGATGGTGAGTTCTCTGTATTCCTTGTCTTTCCCAATTTCTTATTCCATATTCCACTGTTAACTCACTTAGCTTTTTTTTCCCTTGAAAACACCTAATTCTCAGTCATCACATCCTATTTACCCAGGTTTCTCTCATTTATATTCTTTTACAGCTCTTATTGGAATATCCTATGAGATGCATCAGCATGCATAATGCATAATGAGAACCCAACAGCCCAGGAACTTAGAACAGCACAGTGATACATCCTCTCTACAATCTATTTAAGTCATTTTTTCTTTTTGCCTAATAGTTACTTGCTAATATAAGTCAATTTAATTTCTGTAACTCTGCATTGAATAACATCTCCATTTTTAATAGTTCAACTGACAAAGCCCATTTTGATGTCATTTCCTTGGAAATTTTTCTTGAAAGTTAGAAAGGTGAATATGGTTGATGTATTTCCTATATGAGTGAATATAGAATTTTAAACTTGTTGAAATCACCATAAGATGGGGACTAAAGTAGTAATGAGAAAAATAGAGGGGACGAATCAATTCAGGTTATAATACTTTTATATATGGAACTGTTACAATGGAACACCCTGCATAGCTATCTTAAATAAAGAAAAAGGTCATTTTTAAAATAAACATGGAGAACAGGAAGGCAAAATGGGTCCTGCCTGGGGGGGTTGGTACCAGTTGGAGGGGGAGGACATAAGGAAAAGGTATAGGAGGGTTAATATGATAAAAATATTATGTATTCATAAATGAAAATGGAAAAATGAAACTATTCCAGGAATGGGATCAGGAGGATAAAGGAGAATGATGGAGGGGATAAATTCAACTACGATACATTGTAAGAACTTTTGTAAATGTCACAATGTACCCCCAGTACTACAATAAAAATTTAAAATAAAATACTATTTCACAATAATAATAATAATAAAAGAAATATTTCTTAGCCATGAGAGGGAAGCATATTTTCCACCCTCTGAACCCAGAGAACACTTCAACTGTCCTCTGGTTCATAGTTTTTTTATCCTCATGTTTTTTCCTGACATTGTAACTTTTGGACATTGATGCCTCTCTTCTTCTTTAAATGTTTATTTAGCTGAGAAATTTTAGCATCCTTTAGTGTCCTTGTTTTCTTTCTAAACCTGTTAAGGGAAAAATACAGCTTAGCTGTTTCACACACTATTTTTCTAAATACAGAGTCAACTCTTTCTAGATTGTTCTAATCAGAGAGAGAATATGCAAGTCACACATGAAGGACAGTGGCACAGACATTTCACAGAATGGTTAAAGAAAAAGGAGCAAGGAGTTGCAAAGATTTCTTCTTCAAATTATCTACATCCTTCTTGCAGTAGTTTTTGTTTCTTTTTAAAATTTTTGAATCAGCAATGTTTATGTAAAATTTCCAGGAAAACACATCTATTTTAAGTGTACAGTTTCATATAATTTGATAAATGTACACATTCACATAAACAAGACCACAGTCCTCTAACCCTGCAGCTTGCATCTAGTGACCTTTGAGCCAAGTGAATTTAGATTTGTTTTTTCTATAATTTTTTAAAGATGGGAATAAGGTATGAGTATTTTTTGTATTTGACTTTGTTTTCATTTAACATATAGTTATAAGTAAATAATGTTCTTGAGTATATCATATAACCTGTTCTTTTGTATTGCTGAATAGAATCCCATGCAAGTAATGCTGTAATTTTTTAATCTGTCTGTTCTTTGATGAGCATTTGGGTTGTTTCTAGTTTGAAACTCTTTGAATAAAACATTTTGTTGACTTTGCTTTCTGTGTATTTTTTTTTTTCAGTACTGGGGATTGAACTCAGGGCCTTGTGCTTAGTAGGCAAGCGTTCTACCCTGGAGCTACATCTCCAGTCCTTTGGCTTTTAATTAGTTTTCTGGATAGGGTCACACACTAACTTTGTCCAAGCTGGCCTTGAACTGTGGCAGTCTTCCTCTACCTCCCAAGTAGCTGGGACCACAGGTATGTACCACCATCCTCAACTTGTTTCTGAAGTAGTCTTATTAACTTTTACATGGGCTAGACTTAAACTGTGATAGTATGTGTGCTATCATGCCATGCTTGTGTGTCTTTATTTAGTTACTTCTTTGAACAAATTTTGTAGATTTTATTTGCCTCACAGTTTGTAGTCACTGATGACTTTGCTCACTTTTTATTTCTTTTAAATATGTAATTGCTATGTCCTTCATCCTCAAATCCCAGGACTCAATGCATCCCTTCCTCCATTTCTTCCTTATTAACCCTGGCTTTCTAAGTGTCACTCCTGGGTCAGTGTGGTTTAGTAGTAGGTACTGTGGCCTAATGCCTTAAGCCAGTTTGGCTTCTTTCTTCTACTGAGGACATCTGTGTGGGTTGGGGCACATGTCCACTGCTTGAGCAGTTCATAAGTCTGCCCTGAGATGTACTTTCTCTTTGTGCAATGTCTTGTTTTTAACCATGACAGGTAGATATCTCTGGACTTCTTTGACCTCTCTTTAGCACACATGCAGCCTTACAAACCTCTGGAAATAAGTGGGAACTAAGCAAAGTCCATTGTGTTTGTCTTATTTCCCAGATGTCTTTATTAAATTTTACCTGGTTTGTTCTTTGCCTCAGTCAGTATTGGAGACTCTTGCAGTTGCAATGTTTGCTTTGCTTTTTGCGACCAATGTCAGTTTTTCCTACAACTTCTCTGGGCATGAGGTATTTCTGTGGAGTTCTAAATTGGGTCTGCCCTTCTGGTAGCAGCAAGACTGTTGGTACTCATCCAAATTATCATCTAGCTAGGGGAGAGATGGGAACAGCCCCCACTGCTCTTGTGAAATCTCAGGAAGTTATTTCTGAATGAGCTTTTCTCAATTTGTTGTATGACCTTGGTCATTTACAGACTCTGACATGGATCATTTTGAGAATTTGTCCAGTAAATACGGGTACATGTAGTACTTTTGTAAAACTTATAAATGAAACAAAAATACTAGTCCTAAAAATTGGCAGCAACGATTGGGCATGGTGGCTGATGCCTGAAATCATAGCTACTTGGAAGACAAAGATCAGGAGGATCATGGTTCAAGACCAGTCCAGACTGACAGATAGTGAGTCCCTATCTCAACAAATGAGCTAGACTTGGTGGCATGCATCTGTCATCTCCGAGATGTGGGAGGTATATACAGAAGGATTGCAGTCCTGGCTGGCCAGGGCAAAAATACAAGATCCCAGCTGAAAGGTAAAGCAAAAAGGGCTGGGTGCTTGTTTCAATGGTAGAGCATTTGCCTAGGAAGTGCAAGGTTCGAGTTCAAACCACAGCACCACCAAAAAAAAAATTATCCAAGTATAAATTGATCATAATCACTAACCAAGCTGGTGATACATTAGAGAGAGTAACCGTTTGAAATGAATTTAAGCCACAGCAATTTGGCTCTATATCTCTAAGGAATTATATGTTAAGATCACAAAGCAAAAATTTTTAAAGTTTCCTCAAGCTTAAATTTTAAAAAATACAACTATGTATGCACATATGAATAAATGAATAAATAAATAAGCAAAAAATTAAAAAAGTAGAACTATAATGATCAATACTGCTATAGTTATATGTATATATATGTTAAAGTTCCAAGGATATTTATGATTATCAAGTAACATCAGTAAGCCTTCCTATCATAATATTTAAGCAAGTGAAATTAGTTTTCTTTGTGAAAGAAAAACATTTTTTTACAAATAGACTGAAGACAACTGACATTTTCAGTAACTTGTAAAAATCTATTATATGCCCAACTTAGTACAAATTCAGAGATAACCTAATTCTGTTATTTAAAATGTGTTTCTCCCCTCTGGCTCAAAATGAAATCACAAACTCTTCCAATTAACAGACTTTTGAACTCTACTCAGACTTCAGCGGAAAGAGAAGCAAACTTCTAGGAATGATGTCATATTACAATAACGATTAATGTGCAGTCTGTATTGAAAGACCCCAGAAGGTAAAAATACATTGGGTTTGCTAACCAGTCTGTCTCAAAAGTTTAAACCTATCTGTGTCCAAGTCACTGGGGAAGCAGGTACATTATTGCTGAAAATACGTTCTTAACCAACAACCTGTGAAGTTCTTACAAACTTTTTAAAGATCTTTGGATCCTGGGCAAAATTAAGCCAACAGAAATCATGTCAAAGATCAGATGACAGAACACAGGTGTGTTTTATTTCTGCGTTCTCTTTTCTGTTCTGTTCTGAACAGTATAGGCCAGTCCTGTGCTGTTTTTTTTTAAATTTAGATTTGAAAGTAATTATAGGTGTTCATGTCATACAATGTGATATTATAATACATGTGCACACTGTGGAATGATTAATTCAGGCTAATTGACACATATATTACCTTTACTTAGGAATCTTTATAATTATTTTGAAACTAGAAAGTATTACATCTTCAACTTTATGCTTCTTTCTCCACATTGTTTTGGCTATACTGCACCTTTTGTGGTTTCATGTGAATTTTAGAATAGTTTCCTATTTTCATTTTATTTAAAAAAGGCCATTGAGATTTTTATGAGGATAGCATTAAATTAACATGGGAATCTGTAGGCTATTTTAGGTAGAATGTCTATTTTAATAGTATTAAATTTCTCATAATGTGAACTGTCACTATGAATCCCTCCTCTGCATAATTTATTAAGAAAATATTTAATTTCTCAAACAATGAATGTTGGATTTTTAAATTTATTTTAATTCTTATCGTCAATGTATTAGTTGTACATCTCTTTAGTTAAATTTATTCTTAATTGTTTCATTCTTTATTATGCTATTGCAAGCAGGATTGTTTTCTTCATTTGCTTGTAATATGGTTTGTTATTAGTACATATAAAGGCGACTGATTATTATATGTTGATTTTGTATTCTTCCATTTTGCTGAATTAGTAATACTAAGAAAGTTTTTTGTGGACTCTAAGTCTAAACTCATCATAAACAGACAAATAGAAAAAACTCTTTGTATATCAGTTATACAATTCAATAAAAGCTGTTAAGAAGATTAAGCCCAATGAGCCTAAACATTACTAAAGTCTTCTGAGCTAAAAAACCCCCAAAACTAAGCTCACTTCCAAATTTGGGGTGAGATGGCATGTGGGTGGATGGGGGGATAGAGCTGGTACAGGTATACAGCAGATGCTCAATAAATCCAGTTGAATACAATAATAAATGAATGTGTTGATAAATGCATGAGGAGATTAAAATACTCTTGTTATGAAATATTAAACATGTTAAAT